GTGTGGCGGTTGCCACAGGGCAATCTTTGTGTAAAGTGAGTGATTTTTGTTGGTTTGTCAGGCCTGATCGATGGTTTATAGGGGGGGGCGGTGGTTGGTAGTCTTGGTTTGTTCGTGTTCCTGGCTGGTGGGAAGAGTTCAAGGTGTCTGTCACTCCTGTGAGATTTACACTCCCATTTGCTCCCTCTGGCATTTTAATAGGTTTGTCGCTTCTTCCAATTTAGGTATGCTAATTATAGTTATGGTTAACCCCATATATTGTGATTTTGGTCCTATTATTTGTACCTTTTATGTTAGGCATTTAGGGTGACAAGATCCTGTGCATTTGTAGTTCCCAAGGCATACAGTGATATATACATACATAACTGTAGGGTAAAGCATTGAAATAATACATTACAGTAATGGTTTTCCACTAAATGGGTCGGAGGTAGGGATAGGGTTACGTGGGGTTAGGAGGGGTAGTGTATATAGATGGATTGGTATGATAAGAAGTAATTGCGTTATGAGTCTGGTAAGTCTTTGTTCATCTATTTTGTGTTTCAGTTAGTTATCTTGGTGGTGCTGCATCCGTATGTGTGGCTGTGATCATTTCTGATGGTGTTTTAACATTGCTTTGGTATGACTGCAGGTCATTTGTTTCGGTTGCTTCTATAGGACCTATTAGTGGAATTATATTGGTTGTGAAGATATTCTCTCCGTTGTGTTCGGATACCCAGATCTGTGTTCATCCTTTGTCCGGTGTTGTCCGGTGTTGTGTAGGGTCGTGGATTTTCACAGTCCCGTGTCTCCGGTCTTATGTGTCCGGTGTTGTCTTTCCCTTTTGGGTTGTTCTTTCAGGGGTTTGATTGTGCAGGAACTTTTCCTTCCGTTAGGTGCTGTTGTTTTCGTGGGGGAGTTTCTTGTCTGTATTAATATTTAGGATGTTGTCTCTTTAGGTCAGCCAGGATTTTTGGAGGTTGTAATTAGTACCGTGTCTGTTTAGCGGGGGGACCATTCTGCTTGTATGGGAGTGTCTCTGAGTTGAGGTAGTTGCGCTTCATGTCTGTGTCGTTTTGATGGTGTTTGCCACCTCGCTCTTTGTTGGCGTGGTTGGTGTGGCTGCATCAGGACTGGGCTGTACCAGTCAGGTAGGTGGATTAATGGTAGGTTGAGTGCTGAGGTAAGTACTGCTAGGTCTGTTGCTGACGTAAGAGTTGCTGTTACTCTGTTGCTTGTGGCTGTAAGTGATAGTGGAAAACCCCATCTGTATCTAATGTTTCTGGTACGGAGTATGTCTGTGAGGGGTTTCAGCATTCTTCTAGCCTGTAGTGTCATCCAGGAAAGGTCTGGATATATTTGATTGGAGTGCCTCTGTATAGGAGAGGTTGGGTTGTTTGGCGGAGTTCTTTTAGGATTTCTTCTTTGACAGTAAAATAATGTAATCTGCAGATGACATCCCTGGGGGAGTTCGATGAGGTAGTTCTTGCTTTTAATGCTCTGTGTGCCCTGTCTAGGAGAATAGGTTCACTGGTTTCTTGGTTGAGCAGGCAGCTAAATAGCTCTTAGTAGTATGCTTGAAAGATTTTCTCCCTCGGTTTCTGGGAGGCCCTTTATTCTCAAGTTATTACGGCGCCCCCTATTGTCTAAATCATCTAAGGCTCTGTACATTTGTGCCATTTGTACGCTATGTGCTTCCACAGTCACTTGTAGTTGTTGGATCTGTGTAGAAGTGTGGTCTTGATTGTCCTCTAGTGCACTGACTCTGTCTCCCACCTGTTTGATGTCAGTGTTTATGTCATCCATCTTCTTTTGAATGCTGACTTCCAGCTTATGCAACATCCCCTCCAGATCCTGCTTTGAAGGTAAGTTTTGTAGGAGTTCCCTAATGTCAGGGTCTGTAGTTGGGGATGTTGATCCTATCGAGGTGGACGGGCTGGGGGGGATGATATTTCGCCGTGCGCCGTGCCCGGCGCCATCTTGGGGTTTACCTCGGCATTTTGGGCGGTAGTTCCGTCGTGGAAGTATTTGTTCAGGGCGCTCGTTTTCTATCCTGGGGGCTTGCCTGGATGTTGGGCGGTCGCCCCTGACTTTTTGGGGTGTCCCATTTTGCCTTTTTGGCCTGATGGCTGTCGATTGCCCTGCTGATCCGCCGGAGCTCAGCTAGTGTGCGTCCAGCTTGTTGAGCGGTTGGCTCCGCCCCTCTAGTGATGTCTGTTTTATATGCGTGAACCCTTCCCTTCCTGGGGCGCAGAGCTCCTAAGTCTTTCCCCCGTACGTGAAATGTTTTGTGTGTAACTGTGTGTAACTGTGTGTGCTGTTGGTATCTTCCAGAGCGGGAGATGGCTATCTGTAACCCAGCACCCTCCTGCCTGGGACTGAGGAAAGTGTATTGAGTCCTTAATTGAGGTTATACACTACACTAGACATATGTATACTAATTTCCTCTTTATTTTTCTTTTGTTTTTTTTCTCCACATGAATGCATATTAAAATCCTACTTGTTGTTCCTAATTAGGAACTGCGGTTGATTGCTGTGATGTGGGTGGAAGTGATGTGTCGTGAAGGATCGTGACGTCACTTCGCCCACAAACTGATACCCACAAACTGATGATGAATACATGAGACCGGCGGACTGGTAAGTGGCGTGCTATGAGTATTATACATGCCATAAACAGCCACTGAATAGCACATATGTGTAGTGTATAACCCCAATTATGTACTATACAGTTGCAAGAAAAAGTATGTGAACCCTTTGGAATTATATGGATTTCTGTACAAATTGGTCATAAAATGTGATCTGATCATCATCTAAATCACAACAATAGACAATCACAGTCTGCTTAAACTAATAACAAACAAAGAATGAAATGTTGCCATGTTTTTATTGAACACACCATGTAAACATTCACAGTGCAGGTGGAAAAAATATTGTTGACTTGCATGAAGCTGGAAAGGGTTATAAAAGTATCTCCAAAAGCCTTGCTGTTCATCAGTCCACGGTAAGACAAATTGTCTATAAATGGAGAAAGTTCAGCACTGCTGCTACTCTCCCTAGGAGCACTGGCGGATCCAGTGGGGGGGCAACGGGGCAATTGCCCCCCCCGAGAAATCCGCCGGTCTCCCTCCCCTGTCAGCACATGCAGGTGCCAGCCCTGCAATGTGCCTTCGGACCGGGGAGGAAGATCAGAGATCTCCCTCCCCGGTCC